CGACGCCGAAAGCGTCTTCGAATTTCCATCTTTGACGCGCCCCACGAGCCCGTGGAAAACGCTCCTCCCAGGATCTCGTCATCGAGATTCGCGTTTCGCGTTTGTTCAACGGATGCTGGCCGAGAACAATGCCCGCGACGCTCGAATACGCAGGATTTCTCGCGTTATTTCTTCGACGAACACGGCCAATCTCCTTGTCTTCCCTTTCGTCCTCACTCTCGAACGTTTTAAACGATCGAACGATCGTATTCGATACGGGTTGCAGAGTTCGTTCAACTCTTTAAGCGCTCGAATATCCTTTCTAAGGATACGCGAAGAAATTTAGAAATAAATAAAGAAATGTGACTCTTGACCTTTTTCCCCCAGGAAATCCTGACTTGTGTGGTTGTTCCCCCCGTAAAAATAAGGAACTGATAACATTGAGCTGGTAATCACCGTTGCCTCGATCGAGAAACAGGACAAAATTTTCTTGGGACAGTTTCGTTAACGAGCAAGGGTTGAAAACTGGGTGGAACTCGGGGACAAGATCACGTTCGGGGACACGAACTTTCTCCATTGTTTTTGCAAGGGATCCCCTCGCATGTCGGGAATCCCCGTCTGTTTTTGCCGGGACTATTCGCGAGACCGACGGAAATAAAAAGGATCGACGAGGTCGAAGAAAGATGTACCACCCGCCCGGTGGAGAAGTCGCGACTCTTTTCTCGATAGGTGCAATAAAAGTTGATGTTCCGCGGAGACTACGTCTGCTCGTTGCAAAGGAAAACACTGGGAATCCTCTATAAAATTTCTAGTCATTCTTTTCACCGTCCACGGGCACGGGACGTAAAATATCGTAGAAATAGAAGGAGGATCAAAAGATTCAATTTCTGGAACGCGCACCTCCAATGGGATCGTCGTAGGAAAAGTCGCAATCCTTTTCTCGATAGGTACAATAAAAGTTCGTGTTGCAACGAGGTCGGCGGTCGAAAGGGGAATTTCAATAGGAATTCTTTACGAACTTAAACCCCGAGGTCACGGTGGGGGAGGGTCAAAATTGAAAAATAAATCCAATTAGCAACAATTTCGACTTTTGAAATTTTCCCATGTATTATATATCGAGTAAACGCGTTAAACTCGCGGAGGAGAGAGCCTTTTGCTTGTGTTTCTCGCTTAAAAATTAAGAAATCTCCAAGTTCGAGATGCAGCCTGCAAGTTTTAAAAATGTACGCGAAAGTTTCGCCGCGGGATGCAACGAAAATGGTAAGTAAATTGATTTCGAGAGGATCGGACCTGGACGGAAGCTTTTAGGATCGTTAAAGAAACGTGGGAAATTTACAAAATAGCCGACGGTACGCGTGCCGTGCAAGTTCGATGCAGTTCCGAGGGGCAGTCTCGCCTCGCCCCCGCGCGTAATTTCTCCTGTAATTTCGAGATAGTATCAACATAGTACCTGGCTGCCTGGATACGCCTCATTGTAGTTTGATGTAGGTCAATGGGGGGGTCCGTCTCGAAATTTCAAGCTGCAAATTCCGTGCCGCGGTACTGACCTTAATCAACTTCGGGACGAGATTAACGGATCAGATTACCGTAATTCCGGTTAACAGGCAAAATGTTCCGAATTCTATTAACGGTTCCCATCTACCATCGATTTCGCGTAATCGCCTTACCGGGCGGAATTTTACGAAGAAAACGCGTCCGATGGGAACATTAAACAAATATTACCTGTTTCCCTCCAAACTTTATCGGATCACGAGGAAACAAAATACGAAACTTAAAATCGATGTTAAAATAAAACCAGGTGTTTTATTATGGATTCTTCGTCGCGAAAAGAAGCATTTGAAGACACGACAGGCTGCAATTCACGATTTCCGTGTTACTAAATTCGCTATAAAACTTCAAACCTGATGAATCCGGAATCAATTTTGTTTGGATCGTGATCATAAACCTTTATGGAATCTAATGACACGAAAACGATCACTGAGACTCACCCTGAAGCATAAAAAAATCGTTAACGAAGTCGAATAATCGTGAAGACCATCGCTGAATTATTGGCTATTTTCAAATATGAATAATCATACAAATATATACGAGGAAAAAGTAAAAACCGTTCGAAAGTGTAGTATATACTTGTCTGAGAAGCTTCCATAATGGAGAAGTTTATACAACTTCTTTGGAACATAAAAATTGCTAATAAGCGAACAGTGTTTCAGGGAATAGTTAAGGTAGAAAAGGGTGCCATAAAAATCTCTCAACTTTCGACGAAGCACAGCTTGCGAGTGCACAGATGGAAAGAAAGAGTGTTGATACGATGTTCCTTGTATATTCGACCATCTCAGGCAGCAAAAATATCGTAATTCACGCAAAATTGTTAAGATCGTCTTACGGCCGACTTTTCGTGGCAAATACCCCACTGTGCGTCGAAAGGAAGAAACCGTTGAATTATAGGAACGGTAAAGGGCGGGAGTTTTTTCCATAAAGGGCGAGGAACGACTGAGTGCGCGGTACTTAATCGCCATTGTGAGATTTCTCGAGTGCGCTTCACCGTGAAGGATCCCTCTCTATCTAAGGTTGAAAGATACCCTCGTCGGTTTCTGGGCATTCTGCAACCCTTTGTGATCCGGTGACCTTTCTTCCAGGGCCGCGGGAACACAATGGAAAGCAACGTTAAAGGTACTTGAATAAAGAAAGCGCGGATTGTTTCGTCGGGTAGCATCTTGCCACGGAATATTTGCCGCTTTTCGAGCCCGAAGTAAGACGATTTCGCGAAACAACCATCACCCCCGACTTTTTTCAACCCCCCTGGGGAGCCCGGTGGTTACCCTTAAACTAACAGTTGCTTTGTCTTCGCCCGTCGAAACGAAATTTACATTATTCAAATTACTTTTGTTCCGCCGACTCGCCGGTACGTCGAAACTCTTTACTTTGCGTTCGATTAATTACGAATTCCGCCAAAGTACCCTCGATCGAATTCTTCTAAGGTTCCAAGAGCTTTGGGGAGGGGCGCGATTGCGGGAGAAAACTACGACTCTTAAATTATGTGCTTCGTTTTTCGAGAATCGCACTCGACGCGTCGAACGACCCCGGAACACGGTTAATTTTGCGCGCGCTAAATAATCGAGCACCCAATTTTCAGGGTTTCCAACCGTAGGGACATATTAAATTAAGTTATGCTCTGCGATATTGGGTATCCTCGACGTTTCTCGATCGATCTTGACACGTGAAGTTTACTCGTTTCGAAATATTTGCAAAGTAGAGAACGCAGAAAAATAGAAAAAAGAGATTAGATTGAGATATGGGTTCATTGAATCTCTAAATTTGAATCTTTCTCTATAAACTACGATATTAACTGGATTTTCAAAAAATTCATAAGAACGATCGACTTTCGTCCAAAGCGTTGAATTCGCGAGAATTACCGGATACCCGAATCCGGGGGACGATCCTTTGCTTTTTCATTTTCTCCGCGGCCAGACAAAAGAGGAACGGACAGGACGAAGAGGCGCGGGAACTTTGTATTCCCGTTCTCTTCGAGTGGAATAAAAAGTTTTCGAGAAAAAAAAAAAGAAAGGGGGAGGAAAAAGTTGAGAAGTATTCGCGAAGGTCGTGTCTTACTGATTTCCCCGGGGGTGTAATCCATCTCGGTTCGTACCCCCTTCGCCCTGTGCTCGGGGTTCCGTTCGTGATTCAACGAGGGATCGGAATTATGATCGTCCGCGTTCGCGATCCCGCACGGAAACGTAATTAACGGCCGATGAAAGGGCGACGGGCGTTTTCCATTTTCCGAAGAAAAACAGACCGAAAAGTTCCATTCCACGACGGCACCCGGTGATCCATAAATGGGTTAACCAAGGCTTATCTTTCCAATTTATCCTCGAACCCGGTGATTATTTGTTCCAAATTATTCCCGTATGCATGGAACTCGAAAAACAATTCAAGAAATATGCAACGAATGTTTGTCCTATCGGTGAAGATAAAGAAAGGTTTCCCCTTTTGGCGCAAAATCGAATCGAAACGCTTGACAAAAGTATCAGAAATCTAAGAGTGTCTTTCGAGCCGATAATAGGCAACCAGGAATTAATCGTTCGGTTCTCTCACTGCAGTAGGTCGTCGTCTATTCTCAATTTATGCTAAAAGCAAAAGTGCATCGGGCGGCATAGACCGTGGGGCAGCATTCGTTCCTCGCTTCTGTGCCGCAAGATTCAATTAAAAAGTGCTTGAATAAAATTCCCGGCGTTACCGAACGGCCATTAAGGATCGCCTTTTTCCACGGACCAGCTCCGAGAATCCCTTCCAATTCGCCGGCGAAACGTTCAATACAATTAGAGCGCTCGTTATTTGCCGAACGATTTAAAAAGGCTCCAATTACTTCGAAAAGAAAGCTCGATAAGTTATTCCGCAAGACATCTCACGGCGAATTCGTCCTCCCAATAAAGATCGTTCGGTGAGCGGACCATTCGCGTTCGAATTCGCGAAAATGGAACGGTCCGGCTATAAACAATGGATGCGGGCCGGAGAGTCGCCCTATTATTTTCTGGTGATCGATCTTCTTCCCGCTGACCGGATAAGGGCCTGGGATATCGCGTTTTTAAAGACTCGTAGAGCCAACGGGACCCCTATGTTTCTCGCGACTAGATCCAAAGGACGAACGAACAATTCAAGCGACTCTGTTGTAAGAAATCTATGTCTCCGTTTGATTAATTTTGTTTCATTGCGTGTACGAAAGTATTACGTATTATCAGGTTCTTTGAAAGCGTAACAAGAACAGTTACTAAATATTGTTTGTTACGTCACGTGGATCGATCCACCCGCGTACGTTACGCAACAGTTCCAAGATTTTCATACTCGTTGGCTGCGTAGAAAAAACTCGCTGAGACGGCGAAATCGAAGTCGTTCGATCGACTAGAAGGCACGTTAAGGTCAGAAACGACGACGTTCGAACTTTCTCTGGCGTTCTTCGACTGTTCAATGAGTTCGAAGAACAATGATTTATCGCCAGTCACGCTACGAAATCAGAAGCTTCTTACCTCGTTATCGAGCGATATTCTTTGATTCCAACACGTCCTGGAAAAATAAAAATGATCGTATCAAAGCTTGTTTTCGAGATGCAAATAAAACGTATCGATTCTTATCCCCCGGATCGCGTATTCGTTTTGTGGATCGTGTGCTCGCGCATTAAACGAAGTTTTCTTCTTCGCGAGGGAGCGTGTATAGGGTTCCCGTTTCCTCGACTCTTTTTATTCAACGATTTTCGACGCGCCAAACACCACGGCGGCCGCATTGTCGCGCATTATTATCGCCGCGAGCTGGCTCGAAAGCTCGCGCGCTGGATACGAGCAGAGGAAAGCTCTCCGGATAACTTTGGACGACACTGCCTATTGTTCCACCGTTGAGACTTAACGGAGGCACAACGGAAAGCCTCGCAGCTTGACGAGTCAAAGAAACACGGACGATGATTAAGGGAACAGAAAGACCCGGGCCAAATGGTCCACTATTCGTCCATGGCCGTTTTGGAAATCGTACAAATCTCCCAAAATCAGACCACTTAAAACACTGTATCTCGTTTCAAACAACGAAAAATATAACATCAACCACCACTGATTAAAATTTTTTTTCTTATTTTATTAAATACTATTTCTGTAAAAGATTATCAGTAATTTGAATTGGAATTGCAATTTGAAAAATACGATGAAAAATATACTATCAAGCACAATTTTTTTCTTTTGTTTTAAAGTACTATTGTTAATTGGATTTGAACTATTTTTAAAAAGTATATCTTGAAGTTACGGAAGATGATTTTTATAAGGGGTGTTTACGAATATTTCTGTAAAAGATTACGGATAATTTAAATTAAAATTTCACTTTAAAATAATTTTTCCAAGTGTATATTCGGTATTGTAGAAACTTGTTAACGCGTGCTCCGATGCCGTGCGTAGTAATTAGATTAATTATCCCAGCAGATAACAAAGAAGTAAAAGGTTGGAAGAGCTCGTGACGGGGATATTAAAAGCGACTGGACGCGAATAAATTCTTCGTAATTAAATGGTCGGCGTGTATTCAGGATCGCGGAAGGAGCCGGTGCCACCGAAAGAAACGCATTAATTAATCACGGGGGCAGACGAGAAGGAGACGAGCGGCGAAAGCCACCGCGGCTAAGTGAAAAGCAAACGGAAAGCACAGTTCATTCGACTCGCGGTTGACGAGTATTTGCGAAAGACAATAAAGGAGAATCGAGTGAAACGGGAGCGCCACAAGTGCCTTTCTTCGAGTGCCCCGATGTACCTGAGGATTTCGGTTCGAGCCGGGGACTTAGCGAAGAAAGAATAAGAATCGAAAGAAACCAGACGCCCGTGGAAACCGTCTGTCGGACTGTTCTTTCCAATAAAAAAGATTTCACGTACGATCTTACTCGATCTATTTCCCTCCGGGGGAACGAAAATTTCGCTGAAACGCGACACATTGACCGTTGGAAAATTATTATATTAGATCTATTCTTCGAGCGTCACTCTCCGATTTTATTGAAAATTAATTAACTTGACTGCTTAAATAACGTTCCATTAACGGTTCGTATCTCGAACCGTTGTAAATTGGAGTTAGTGCATCAACAAACGGTCCATACAACGATGAACGTAAAAAATTCAAGACCGATGAAAGCAGCGTCGGAACGTACTAGAACGGTTTACTGCCGGGCAAGTTTTATTCCCGAATAACGAATAAAAATTTTAGATACGTTCCGTACGTCGCGTCGATCGGGTTTTAATTTACGGGATTGAATCTGAAATCTTTATTCGTCGTTTCCAAAAACCAGAATACAAATACCAATGTTTTAAAGTTAACAAGACGCGAGGTTCGAACCTCAACGTTCGAAGGGAAATTATTTCCGGGGGAAAGTCCCAAGAAAATGTGAAAATAAAGGATATCGATTTTTTTTTGTGCCCGTCAAGGTGGTAGTCCCTCTTAACGCGAGGCACGCGCGAGTCCCCGAAGCGCGGCAATTTAATTGCAACGTTTCTCGACGGGGATTACCCGCCGAAAGGATTTACCGAGACGAGCGGCGCCAGGGGTTAATTGACCCACTGTGTTTGTTAATATCGCGAACGCGGGGAGAAAACGTGAAAAGAAAAAAAAACGCTCGAAGCCAGAGGGCGGAGACCCAGGCGGAAATTTGCCAAAGAATATGTCCGTTAAGAGGACGAATAACGTTTTACGATCACTGATACCCCGTCATGGGAGCCCCTGGAAACGAAATAAAATTTTCAAGATACGAACGGACTCGTGGAACCAATGAGGCGAACGTCGAGCGACTGTTTTCATAGAAGAGTCGCGCGTAGCTTCGTCGTTTCGTTTATTTCGGCGAATGGAAGAATGTTATGATGCAGACCTAAACGGAATTTTGTAAAATAGAGACAGAGACCCGAAATAAACGATTGTTTCACTCTACTATCATAATATTAAGAGTTTTCAGCCAGAACTGACCAACAAATGGATTGTTTTTGACACAATGCGTGTCTCCGTTTAAACGAAAAAAGAATGATCAATCGAGAATGTCGATCAAAAAATCGAGAAAAAATTATTATTGCACGAGGTGTTTTAAGTCTGAGAAGTTAAATGAATCTAGGAGGCCACACAGTCGATCCGATGTTTACCAGCGTGTCGAGACAGCAAATACAAGAGTAGACTGGCTTTGTACGACCGAAAAGGAGCAGGAAAATTTAATTGGCCTGCGGGAGGGCGTTTCACGCGGAGGCAACTCGTGTCGACGATTAAAACTTTCGCAGCGCGGAACACTGCAGCTTTAATTCCTCGAAAATCATCCGCGAGCAGCCAAAAACTAGTCCATGTTATCAGGTCGTTTCGCGTGTCTCTGCATTTTGGCCATTTAAAACCCAATATGTCCATACGAAACCAATAAAAGATACGTAAGTCGAATATAAATTAAATTAAAGATCCCAGATCAGCCTTAACTGTGATTTGTCCATTGGGAAAAATTTACGTATCATTTTTCTGGCCACCACTCGTCGGAAGTATATTTAAATTGCGAATGTTCGATATCGTAAAGATTAATTTAGATTCCGTTTAAACATCCCTGTGGATTTCGGTCCCAATCTTCTCGCTGTTCGGAACGATTTAAATCCGATAGATGGCTGTAATTGGTTAATCAGCGCAGAGGGGAATTTCCTGGGAATTAGAGACATTTTTCATCCTCCGTTGGACAATCGTGCCAGGTTCAATCGCTCCTCGAACCGATCGATCGACCAAGGACAAATGACAGGTCCTCGGCAGCCGGACACTCGAAACATCTCGTGTTTGTCCGGGAGGCAATGGTTAGGTTTACATTAGGACCACTTCCGCCCAATTGATTAGTCTCAATCGGTTTACCCCCGACATTGGCCATCCCCGATGACCGCTTTTATCGATCTCGCCGTTGGAAAACGGTTCGCGCCAGTTCCATCCGTTGGAAACGTCGAAACGAATGCGACTTCTGTCCGTACGTTCCCCGCAATCGATTCCCAATTATCGCAATTTACCAAAAGTGAAACATCCTACTCTATGACCTTAATTTGAATTCAATCAAATTTTTGTTCGACTTTGTTCAAATCGAAGCCACCAACGTGACATCGCGTTCCCAAACCATTTTCCATTTTTCTCGATACGTTTCCATCATACATTGTGTCACAGTCCGGGCGTTACGATCTGGAGTTATGGCTGAGTACAAACATAAAATAGGAAATATCTCGTAAAGTGCAACGTTTTCAATAGCCATACCTTACCAATTTCATACGCAGAACGACGAGAAAAATCCTTTTGTATGGAAAAAAAAAACCAAAATTGTCGTCGAGAGGGATGAATTTTTCGTGGTTAAACGAGAGGCTACTTTGGCTAACGCTATTTGCGTGTACATTAAACTCCGCGGAGAGTCGATCAGGGCGGACGCGCGTGAAATTTACCGATAGCAGCTACGAAAATTAATTACCGCGTTCGATGCTTCTATCCGTAACTGCATGGCGTCGTGTATGATAATTACAATAACACCGCTTATGAATTCGCGCTCGTCATCGATCTTGCCGTACAACCGGGATCCGTTGCCACCGCCTACGCTTATCCCATTACATTTTACAGAGTTCCAACGAAGATACAAATATTCGTTGAAACAATGTCTCAATTGCTATGTGCAAGAAAAAATCTAAGGACCTACAGATGTAATGCTCTTCGAGTCATCTACCTTTATCTGCGATATTATTCGACAATTATTATTCATTCTATGGTCTCAATTTTTGGGGCCAGAAGTTTGTCAAAATGCTAGGTTCGTCCGGACCCGCTATCGCTACGTTTTCTGGTCTCGATGTTTCATTGTTCGTACAAAGTTCTCGATGTTTGCTCCGGCGAAACTCAGACCAGCTTTCCTTATCAACTCGTTTCTCCCGTGGCAGATCCGGGACGCGTGCACGTACCGGTCCCCGGAAAATTCATAAAGTTTACCCCGGCCGCCGTATCCTATTAATATACAGACAAGCACGCCGCGTAACCACTTCGATCGTCTCTCTCGTAACTTCGACCTCTGAACTCCCGGGGCAAAGTGCATTAACCAGATGAAACGGAATTCGCGAGCATAACCCTTCAATCTATCCGGGCTCTTGCCCTTATCGCGTTCGTTGGCGCGCAAACGCCCCCGGTTCCGGCTCGCTGCGATGCATTTTCCGCTCGTCCCCGCTGTCTTTCCCGACATGGTCCAAAATTAAATTTACTCCCGCACGGCAGACATAATCGCGGCACTCGAAACAAGCAGATCAGATTTACGGAGCCTCGAGGATCCCATTTAGAACGAGCCAAAGTCCGGGATTGTGAAGTCGTACACCCCGGAGCTCATTTGGTTCCCGGTATTCGGAGAATCGTGCTTGGAATTTGTATGTTTTGATCGGGTAACTATAATTTTACGGTCGGCCCGGCTCGTCGCGGATTTATTGCGTTTTCGATGGAAAATTGAATACGGAACTGCACGGGGGTTGGAAAGGGGGAGGCTCGAAGCGCGGAAAATAGAACAAAGTTCCAAACTCTCGGGTGCC